CGGCACTGAACCCTCTTCCCATGGGTCAGATCATCCGGCCTTTGCTACAGGCCTGAAAAGAGAACGCTCCAGTTTCCCAACAGTGATGGCAGCACAGCAGCCAGAATGGAGAGCAGCTCAGAACCTCTCACCGTGAGCCTGGGAGCGTGGTGGCATTTGGTGTGGAGCCATACGTGTTGGGCAAAAATCGCCGAAGATATAAAACAAAATGCTTGATACCCTATGAAAACAACTGCTGATGAAATACTGGTTTTCATTATGCAGAAGTAAAATATTCACTACCAACCCTGCAATTAGCTGGAAAATTACAATAATTACAGCAATTTTGTATCCCATCTCCAGTCCAATTAATAGATATATGACCTTGTCAACATGTAATAATCAGATTGCATCCACAACAAAACGAGAAGGGCTTTGGATATTGAACGGAGCTTGCTCAGTGAGGAGACAATCATTTGAAATCCTGAAAACAGCATCTGTGTTCCACTGTGTACTCTAACACCTCAAAAGGAAATACACAATAGAATGTTATCTGTATATTTAAATCGGATCCAAAAAGAGCGTGCTAAGATCAGCTGTATGTTAGAAGTATAGATCTCTAAGCCAAAGATCCTTAATCTTCTCTACCTTAACAAATCTTTAAACAGACCTCTATACTCTTAGATAAAGAAAAATCCGAGATCAAAAAGGGAAAGGCAGGCTGGCAGACAGCTGAGCCTTGAAACACTGTGTGAGCCTGGTGATATGAACTCAATTTCCAAAACCCTCATAAAGGCGACAGAAAATTAATTCCGAGAGTTGTCCTCTGACCTCTGGTTATGAGCTACGGCACATGTACACACCATTCATATGAAGACATAATAATTTAAAAAACAACATCTTAGAAAAAGGAAAAAGGACATTTACTTTGACATAATTTAATAAATCTTATTTTCTTTAAATTCTAAAAATCATGAAATTAGTAATACTTTACATGCTAAATAACATTTCAGAAAAATTATAAGATTTAATAAAGTTTTATAATAGTTCAAAATGTAAAGACTTAAAAGTTACTTTTTAAAAAATGTAACTAATCAGATACTTTGTCAAAACACTTTAGAGCAGTGTCATTTCCGAAAGCTGTGATGTCAATAGGGCACACAGCAATCCCAAATTTGACGGGATCTTCCTTTGACTTCTAGCACAAGATGTGAAAACCTCAATTGCGGATAAAAGTGATGATGTTGCCAGGACTCCGGAGCCTGTTACCTCCAAAGATACCTGTCCCAGCTGTCCAGAAGTTTAAGAACTCCTTGAGCATTAAGAAAACTAAAGCAGCATGTAAACCAGAAGCGAAAAATGTTCCCATGAGATCTGAAACACTCTATGCTTGGATAGCCCCAGGAGGGGCAGGCACCTCTTCTCCTGTGTGAGCCGCTGACCGGCAGGGTGCCAGAGTCCAGGGTGGCCTGCTGCACGGCGGCGGGTCTCCATTTTCCTCTCTCTCTCTCAGGCTGGCGGCCGCTGTGTTAGTAAGCTGGTTACTCAGTGTGGGCCATCGACTAGATCCATATTTGTGCTTTGGTGTGACGCATTCATTTCACTCACTAGGATCTAGAATCCTTCCTTTAAAATTCTGCGAATGTGTGCATGTGTGAGTGTCGGTGCACAAGGGCACACACGCCGCAGCCCCCGAGCGGAGGTCTCAGGACAACGTGCAGGCGCCAGTGCTCTCTCCCCACTGTCCAGGGATGGACCTCAGGGGTCAGGCTTGGCGGCACACTCCCTAACCCACTGGGCCAGCTCACGTGTCCTCTCATCTTTCAGGAAACTGCCATTTCAGTGTAAGACAGTGAATACTAAATACCTTTACTTCTGGGCCTCTTGGTCTGGGCTCTATGATCTCCGTGTGTGTGTGTGTGTGTGTGTGTGTGTGTGTGTGTGTGTGTGTGTGTGTCTTATCTGACAACTTCACTAACTTCGACTCAGAGTTGTTCTCCATTGAGCCAGTCTTCTCATACTTTACCTGTGTGAGGACGATGGCTAGACAGCCCTGTGATACAAAGGCAGTCTCACTGTGTTCTCTCAGGGCCCTCGGCTCCTAACAGGGCCAGGCAAGCACAGGCAATCATGTCAAGTGTATGGATATCACGGACAGAACAGGCGACGGGTGGGAGGTGCCATGACCAGGTGGGTGTCTACAGTAGATTTTTTTTCTTCCTCTCTCATACAATAATCCTGACCACCGTTTCCCCTCCTCACTCCCCAGCCCCTCCCACTTCCCTACATTAGAATCTTACTTACTTTACCATACTAGTCAAGGCATAAAATCTGTCAGGTAAGAATGGCCTCCTACTGATAACACGAAACAGATACTTGAACTAGAAATTTATTTGCTCCAAAAGCGACTGACAAAGAGATAAGCCGAGTTTAAAACAATGTTCAACTTTAGCACACACCAGCCAAACGGTAGTGGCGATTCACAAGGAATTCTGTTGAGTCCAGGGGAGACAAAAAGTAAAAACTGACAGAATGCCTGTCATTCAAGGGCTTCCCACCCATGACTCACCATGGGCTAGAGAGTAAAAGTTGTATGATAAAGACAGGGTAACCTGCGGCCACGTCACCTCACCCCCCACATGGCCCACACTTCCAAGCACTGCCTCAGGTGAAGCCAACGACAGCCTTGTTCCTCTTGTCTTCACTTTGACACAGGGTCTCAATGTGTTGCGTTGGCGTGAGTGAGCCTGAACTCTTGACTGCCTCGCCTCTCCCTCCCAAAGGCTGGACTGGAAAGTGCACACACCACCGCTCCTCACCGAGGACTTTCTGAGTAACAGTGCCTTGAAGTGACCAGACGTTGTTTCCAACCATCCAAGTTGCTTTTAAGAAACATTTGCTTATACACACATAAACTTTAACGAAGAGATGGCCAAGCAGGGAAAAGCAGAGCGCATATCAGGATTGAGGGGGCTAAGGGGCAGTCATCTGAGATATTCCGAGAAAGGGACAGGGAGGAGCTGCTGTGCTCCAACCCTGAAACCCATTTCTTTGTACCTGGGCCTCATGTGGCCCAAGGGCTGTAAGCAACAAAGGAATTGGTTGGCACTGCTCTACACGCAGGTATAACTCTGTCACCGATACTCTCACAACACTTCCTACTGTGTCCTACTGTCTTCCTTCGCAGCAGCTTCCGGCTGGCCTACAGACGTGTTCCTTATTAACTTAGTGCACGTGACTGCTTTTCCTTACAGACACAGCCTGTTCGTGTTGGCGACAGAATCTGGGGCCTGAAGTATGCAGGGCACATGGCATACCACGAGCTCTATCCCCCGATATACAGATTTACGGCGTAGTAAACACGAGCTGGAAAGAATTTAAGGGCTGGAAGATGGAGAGGAAGCGCTGTGGAATGCTGGACGTGACACGGCACCACTCCTGAACTCCCTGTAGCTGTGACTGCTTTCACAGATGTGTGGAAGATCAGATCCACAGGACTGGCCAGCATTCCAGCAGGGTTAGAGGAGGGTCTGGGAGAGAGAGGGGGAGGGAGGAGGGAGAGAGAAGGAGGGGGAAGGAGGGGGAGGGAGGAGGGAGGAAGGACCCAGGAACAGGACTGTGGGGGGGTGCTGAGGCTGCGTGGTGACGAAGAGCAGAAGGTGGAAAGACTTCCAAGCACACGACTGGATGCATTGTAAACAGGTATCAAAGTGTCAAAGAACACATAAAATAGCCTTAAAAATAAATATAGCAAAGAAAAAGATTTGGTAGCGTACCAAGGATGCTAGAATAGTAACGGGTTTGATATTTTATTTTCTGTAGAGATTTTATCTTATGAGGCATCTCTCCAAGAGACTTGTAAGAACTTTTATCTTTTCTCTTTGTATTTTGGTTGCTTAGTTTTAGACTCAGATTCACGTTGCCTGAATATTTTAAAATTCGAGTTGACTACATAGACCAACACAAAGAGCAAGGAACAAGGAGAGAGGTCCCTACAGCTTACAAACAGGTAGAAGCAAGTGACTGAAATGCTACAGACCACGACCAGCGAGGGTGGGAAAAGGAAGACTACATTCTAAAAGAATAAATACACGTTCTAAATAATTGCCCATGTTGTGTTTTTGACATTATATAATTACTATATGATTAATCAACTACAGAAAAAAAAAAAAAAAGACACCCAGAGGCTCACACAGAAAAAAAAAAAAAAAAAAAAATTTTTATCTAAAAAAAAAAAAAAAAAAAAAAAAAAAAAAAAGAATCTTAAGCAGAGATGCCTAAAGAGAAATGAGCTTTGAGCTTATTTCTTTGTGGAAGGAATGGGAGTATGACAGGGCCCCCATTTATAGCCACCACTCAGTGTCCCTGCCTCACCCCCTGACAGTAGCATTACAGCTTTGTGTCACCAGGCCTTACCTACACGATAAATCGCCTGTGACACCTTCTTACTGTTACCACAGCTCAGCGCTGAAGCTTTACAAGCACGTATCACTTCTGCCTAAAGACTTACACCTTCCCAGGAAAGCTATGAAGAGTTGTTGCGGAGCTCTTCAAACAAAGGTCCAGAGACTGGGGTTCCCTGGCACATTGCTCCTCACAGATGCTCTGTCCTTAACGTCCCCTGAGGCTCGAGTTTCCTCTCCCAAAACCCACAGACAGCTTGGTACCAAGATCTCTTCACGTGAAAGACACGTGCTGTGAATCATGGCTACAGTGGGCTGAACTGTGAGAAACCTTTGGTTATTTCTATCCATAAAGACAGTACAGGGTGAACGACCTGCAATCTGTCTGTATTTAGCCTCAGTGAGCAACCCAAAAGTCTCTAATACAGACAAACCTGAGCCCATCTACCAGCAGGCACGTAATCGCTGGCTTCTCACGTGCAAGATACTGGCCCCGGTTCAAAACCTAACCAATGTCTGATAAACATGAAGAATCCCATTTGTGGAAGCAGAGACAGAGAAGTTAGGGCCCCTGAAAATTAAGCTGAAAGGCACCGAGGACAGAAACCGCTCACTCACTTGCCCGGAGGACTGAAGGCGTGACCTCAATTTCACTCGTGGCTTGGTAGGGCTGAAAAGCCGAGACACCGCTGGTGCCCAGCTCACTGCTGAATATCTCCGGACTCTGGGTTCCCGTGGAGCTGGCGCTGGTGCCATCTCCTCCATGGTGTGGATCCTGCTCGTCAAACACTGCCACCAGCTGGAAATGACAGACACAGGGCCACTTGTGAGTAAAGGCATCACCATCAGTACCAAACAGTCCACATGCTGAGACAGGCCTAGGGGAAACACTGACAGTGATGTATCCAAGAATGCTCATTTTTCAGGTGGCGAAACCTCAGTAAAACATCGTCTCCCTGAGGCTTGACGTTTCTTTCATACATTTCAAGGAAGCAGTTTCATATTGAAAATTTCATGTGTTTAAAAAAAAAAAATAAGACGCATTGACATCCCAGAATGCTAGGGGGTAGACGTGAGGTTAAATCATTTTTACACAGAATACGGTAAGTACAAAGAATATTCATGTACACACATGTGTAACTGTATTTTCTCTTTTCCTCCTTTTGTTCACCTCTAAGAATTTCAAGCCACCCAAGCTGGCCTATACAGCATGCCCAGTCCAGGGATGATGTTTCAGTTCTGATCTTCTTGCCTTCACTTCCCACTTCTCAGGCCTGGTGAACAGGCCACATCACGTGGTGGAGGAGAGTGAACCAGGTCCCGCTACATGCTAGGCACATGCTCCATCAACTCGGGTGTACCTCCAAGCTCGTGTGTGTGTATGTGTACTTGAGTACACCACATACCCTGCCCTTCACATATGAGAAAGGGGACATTAAACATATGCTATCCCACTGTTTAAAACTTACAGGCTAAGGAAATGACTCATTTACAGGCATGAGCTTGATAACGAGAGGGTGGGGCAGACAACGGCGATGGGAAGGAAAGGACACACTTCTGAAGAGCTTTGCATGGCAGAGGAACAATCATGATTCCATAGTTAACACACAACCAGCTGAAATCAATCAGGATAGCAACACGAGGCATCGGCCACTCTGAAGCCACAACAATGACACAGACAACCCTGACCATTCTACAAACAACTAGATGACCACACAGAATAGGACGAAACAGAAACCATCTAGATTCACCGTGAAAAATGCTTTCTCCACTGTTTAAGGCTAAACTCAAAAGAGCGGCCATTTAAACACTGTATTCCAAGGAGTCAATTTGCTTCATACACGCATATACTTGAGCAACTCCCAACTCTGTTACACAATACACACACATCAGGAATGAACAAAAACATGAAAGTATCACGGGTGGTGACAGCCAGTGTTATCACTGTCACAAACAGTTACTGAAAAGAAGATGGTGTAACAAGCTCTGTGCTACACTGCACCGGAACTGGGGCTCCACACAAGCTCATGCCTCTGAAGAGTAAGCCACCCCGAGCAGCACCAGCTCACTACCGGAGTGAGACCATGGATTCCCAGAGGACGCCTGCACTGGCCTGGATGAGCAGGCCAATCACGAAATGCGTGCCATTAATCAACAATGCTGCAAGTCCCAGATCATGAGGCTGCTGTTCGTGAGCAAGACATACGGTTGATCATCAAGCTTTGCTACAGAATATAGTATTCTCTGCAATAATGATATAATGTGCCATGTACAATTTATTGCTATAATTTCACATGACTGGCAAGGTACACCAACAAATGAGAAAAGCATTTTGCTATGATCTCATCAAGACAATAAAAATTCCCAGAGCCCCTGCAGCCTAATATGTAGCCTGTTAGAAAGATGGCGGTATGGTCCGCAGCCACAGGTGGCGAAGCACAGACAGAGTTGTGGGTTAGTGTCAATACCAGGAGGAGACAGCTAGATGTCCCGACTCTAGTCTGCGAGGTCCCAATTGAGAATAGCACCCCAGAACCAATGCGCATGCCTCACACCCAGATCTAGGTTTCTAATGTCATTTACCAGTAAGACAAGGCATTCTGAAAAGAGCCGGTTGTAAGGGGAACAGAACACCCACAATGAGTATGAATGCCTAGTGATGTGAGAGTGAGGAAGTGTTCCAAAGAAAAAAGAAGCACATCAAAGGGAAGCAGATAGAACCCCAAGACCCTCTATCCCCCACAATCTGGGACAACTTATGACCAAAGAAATAATTCCAGCAGGGGATCTAAACTGCAAAATAAAGAACACATCTGTCAACCTGTGGTGGCTTAAATAACGGGGAAAGCTGGCAGCTGTCTTCTTTGGTAGAATTCAAATAGTGAAGACCAGAGCGGGGTTGAGGAGCAGCTTGTTTGTAGAGGACTTGCCTAGGATGCGCATTCCCATGCTATGTCTGCGCATAGAGCAGACATAGCAGCAAAACCCTGTAATCCTAGTACTTCAGAGGAAGAGGCAAGAGAACCAGAAGCTCAAGGTCATCCTTGGCTATACAGCAAGTGGAGGACTGGTCTGGGCTACGTGAGACTCTATCACAAGTAAATAGATAAATGGGTAAACATAAATAAGAAATGATGGAAGTATGTTCTCATCAGGAACATTCATCAATTGTCACAGAAAATCTACCAAGAGATGCTTATGTCAACAGGTGAAAAGAGAAGCAAGGTGGTTGCCTATCTCAAAAGGTCTCCCCATATGACAGGTTTCATCCTTGGCTACAGAGTAAGTTGAGGACCAGTCTGGGCTGTATGAGACCCATTATAAAAGATAAACAATGGAAGAATAAAGAGTCCTGGAAATATTACAGACAAAACCTACCAATGGATGCCAAAGTCGATGGCAAAAGTACAAAGAGAAGCAATGTGTTTGCCTGTCCCCAACGGCCTCTCATATCACAGGCCTCAACCAAAAGAGGGAAGGTGCGTTAACCTGAAATGGAGAGAGCTGGCAGCCTCAGTGCTCCACAGGGAAGGCCAGCCGTGAGAGCGCAGAACATGGTTGGTGTGGCTGCCGCTCCTGGAAAACGCCTGTCACTTCAACAAACCGTAAAATACCAGATAAACATAAACTGAAGGACATCCCACAGAGCAACAGTTACAAAGTACATTACATGACTCAAAGTTCGACAGTCACGAAAATCAGGAAAGAATGACAAAATCACACAAATAGGAAATTACAGAAAACAAACATGTGCCTGTAGGTTCCTCTGCTGGATCACAAAGGATTCTAACGGAGAGGCAAAACTGAGCAAACCTTGAAACTCAGCTGACATGCGAGCCGAGGGTTGGCCTGTGTTGAGGATCATCGCCTCTGGCTACGGATGATGTGGAGGTTAAGGAGCTGATGACGGGATACGGAAACACTACACAGCTATTTCCCAACCTTTATGAAATTTATAATTATCTCAATGGAAGTTTTCAATTGTTAGGTGTAATCACAAAATACTATGAAAGACTTCACTCTGGTTCTTCTCATAATGGGCAGTTCTCTGAGCACTGCCACGGCATCCAGCAACTCAGCAGCTTTCTGAGGATGGGAGAACCTCGAGATGGCCAAAGGAAATACCTGCTCTGCTGAGGCTTTGCAGCATCCACAAAATCTGAGCAGTGGCTCATTTCCCAGACAGCTTTGTCACCTCAAAAAGCTGCTTCCATCCTCACGTCAGAGACACGAAGAGAAACAGGAAGCATGGAACACTGCTGTGATTTAATGTGTAATTAAGTGATTAATCCAGTGGGAAGAACAGTGCAAACAAAGTAAGATGAAAACTTGGACCACTCAAACCCTGTAATAAGCAATGGAAAAGATATATCCTTAACAGCTACAAAAACAAGGAAGTGGTTTCAGGTGTACTCCCAAGTTTTCAGGGAACATAATTAGGTCCTGTTTGCCTGGCATGACGATGCTGGAGGAAGAAATCTCACCACAACAGAGATCAGCATATCAGCAGATGAATAAATTTTTTTGGAGCTAAGCTCCAGGTGACCTATCTGTCATGGCGCTACTTTGGTAGCATGACAGCAGCATAAAGAACACATGAAAATGAGCATGGCTGTTTAAACTTTTATTTATAAAAAATCGGCAGCAGATACAATTTGGTACATGGGGCTGTGTTTATGAACCTCCAGACAGGAGATGACTGTCCTCCTGCTGTAAAGTTTCACTTTCCAAAATAAGGACAGCCAGAGGGACACCTATAAGGGACCATGATAAGCTAACACCACCCATTTTGGGTTGTTTATCAGAACACAGGATTTCTACACTGACCTAAATACTGTATCTTGTACAATATGTATGGCATAATATACATTTTGAAGCTATCAAATTTTGACATTTTGGTGTTTAATTGGAAATAACCGAAATTCAAGAATCAAGTCCTCTGTGCACACTGAAAATGGAGATGAAAAATTACAAAGAAGTCTTTAAATGCCAAACATGGAAGTGCTTATAGATGTATATTAGTTTCAATAATGATCTCCAGCATTTTTTGAAAACACAGGATTAAGAAATCTGGACTGTGTTGTGAATAAACGCTATGTGAATTTCAGTGGCAGAGTCACAGTTGGTGATTTGCAATGTGCCAATAGCATACAATTTTACAGCTTTCTTTTAAACCAAATTTTAAGTGCCAGGTGCAGACATGAAGTAATTTTGTGTTAAATTGGGAAGGATTTATAATTTTAGAAAAGCTACTCTACAAGAATATAGAAACACAGCAAAAGAAAACGAGACCTCCATAAAAACATCAGATTCAAAATCCCCACATGCCCTTCTAAAGTACAAGAAATGTAATTTAAGTTTCTAAGACGTGACCCACTCCATATTATAACAGATGGAATCTTCACTATCCATGAACTAGATCATTCTCTAAGATGCACTTTCAGTTTTGGTTTTTTTTTTTTTTTTTAATTATGCATATTTGGAGTGGGGGTGGGGACAAGCGCACAGATGTCCTTACAGGCCAGAAGAAGGTGTTAGATCCCCTGGATGTGGAGCAGCCATGAGCCTCCTGCTCTGGGTTCTGGGAGCTGAATCTGGGTCCTCTCAAGAGCAGTACCTGTTCTTAACTACTGAGCCATCTCTGCACTTCTAAAGGTTCACTGTTATTATGCAATAGTTATTAGCTAATCTCTCTCCTGTTCTTTGCATCTGACAAGTGCGACAGGGGGGTAAAAAGGAGCAGCTGAATTTGGATAATTCTGGGATAGGCCAAATGTAAACACACCCTACTTAATGCCA